GGGAGCTCCTTACCCCACGTCCTCCATCACTTCAGTTGTAACCGTTGTGTGATCTCTTGTACGTGGTTCTGTTATCTGGAGTTCCTTGTTCGCAGGTGCTGATTCTCAGCTGTATCGTGCTTGTGGTCATTTTGACAAGTTCTCTGCAGAGGTGCCCCAAGTGCTCTGCGCCGTGCAAGTGCTCAAGTGTTTGAATCCAGAATCTTGGGGTTTCACCAGCAGATGAAGGGTCATGCTGGTCTCTCACGTGGTGCGCCTTCCTCCACCTGTGCGTCACCGTACAGGCTGGGTTCCCTCTCTCTTTAAACACCACCCCAGCCCTCGGCCCTCTCCTCTCTCTCTTCCATGGCACATTGTCCTTTTGCTTCTAAGAGCTGAAATCGTGCAGCCTTCTGGAGTCCGGCCTTCACACACGGGTTTGTGTTGCGTTTCTTCACGTTTTAGGGGCTGAAAGCCACGTTCCGTGTTTCATCGGCTCACGTGGGCAGTGATCCTCAGTCACAGGGACCTTAGTCCAGGTAATGGGCCCCCAGACCTCTCACAATGTAGTCTCGTGACTTTAAAGTCTGCCTCCTCCTTCCTTTTCTTTTTTAATCTCAGCTGTGTTTTTAAATCTTGGACTGTGGTGTTTTATCTGGCAGTTCTAGGTGGCATCAGGCAGGATGTTCATATTAATTCTGTCTGTCATTGTCCAGAACCACTGTCACCCTACGTGTTTGGTCACATGTTGGAAGGCTGGATTTGGATTCTAAGAGTGGGGTTTTTTGTCTTTTTTTTTTTTTGCTTTTCCAGGTATGGAATTACATCATTCAAAAACAGTGACACTTTTCTCTTCATAAATGAGCCTGGGATTTTGAATGTCTCGTTTTCTTATTTTGTGTGTTGTGCCAGTTAATTCCAACATTGGCATTCCTGTGTTGTTCCTCACTTTCATGTGAATTGGGTACTGTTAAGAGTGTTTCAAGTGTCCCAAAGCAATTAATTCATCATACATGACTTAAACATCTCAGTTTGCATATTCATTTAATACGAAGTTACAGTGTAATTATTGTGTCATAATGTCAACCAAATGCCATTCTAATAGTCAGTTACACAAAGTAATACAAAAAATAAAATGCAAAGTGAAATTTCTAATTCAACAGTTTTTAATACAAAGTTGTGTCCTTGTAGGTTGACTCTTCTGTGTGTTAATATATTAAGTGTTTTGGTGATTGAGTATCAGTTACTATTAACATTAAAAACCACACATAAGGGCCCCTCCTGGCCCCAATCCCCTCCCATAGGTAAAGGTAGATATTATAAAAGAATATTTACATGTAAGAGAAATAAAATTCCAAATCAGTCAGAAAGAGTTATCTTCTTCTGTTGTAAGCATGTGGAGCCCTGGTGGTGCAGCGGGTAAGCGCTTGGCTGCTAACCGGTAGGTGGGCGGCTCAGACCCACCCAGCAGCTGGTGGGGTGTGAGGACCCGGTGATGTGCTTCTGCAAAGACGGAAAGCTTGATGGGCAGTTCTTCTCTGCAACATGGGGTTGCTGTGAATCAGACTTGACTCACGGCACCTGCCAGTGGCATCATCGCACAACATCTGCTGTGTGTGATGATTAGTAGAAAGTCCAGGTAATGGGCCCCCAAACCTCTCTCTCATAATGTAGTCTCGTGACTTTAAAGTCTGCCTTCTCCTTCAGGTTTATCATACCAGGTGGGATATCATGATGTCCCGTTAGAGTCTTGAAGCAAATGACTCCTGTGGTTAATGAGTAAGCGATGTGCAGTGAAGACGGCATTTTTACTGAGCTCTTACCTTGAGAGAAATTCCCTTGCTTTTTGCAGAATGTGTTCAGTTTATTTCTCCACCTTTATTTTTAACTACTTGTCTCAGTCGTATGGCTTACTCTTTGATGCTGTCTGTAATTCTATGTGGGGTGTAGGCAGTTACTGTTGGCTCTGCTGTGGTTGTTGTCCTTCCAATACACATATAGAAGACCTCTGTGCAAGCAGACACACAGACAGGTTCACTCAGTTCCTTAACACGTTGGTAAAACGTGCAGGTGGCACAAAGGTGTTCTTTTGTGACTACCTCGGATGTTTTAGTAATTGAGGGTTTAATTTCATTTTTTTACTTTCTGCCCACTTTGAGTGTCCCACTACCCTTCGAGGGAGTGACCCTTACCAGTGCTCATGTTTCTCTCTCACCTCGCTGGCCTGTCGTCTGGTCCAGTTCACCTCAGCTCAGATACATGAACAAACATTGGAGGCTGCCCCTTTATATTGTAAAAACTTCACAAAATTAGAAATCCTTAAGAGAAGACCTGTTACTCTCAAAGTGTAAATCCTTCTGTTCAGTTTCCTTCTTAATTGACATTAAATTGTTTTGGGCCCCTATCCCCTCCCGTACGTAAAGGTAGATGTTATTTCCCTTATGTGTAAATATTCTTTTATAATATCTACCTTTATGTACAGGAGGGAATAGGAGCCAAAAGCAACCTTTCACCATGTACTCAGTCTTCAAGAGACAGTCTACCTTTTGTCTCACTCACATCCCTACTTTGATGTTGGAATCTTTCCTTTGACTTTGTGCTAAATTTGTTATGGTTCCCTGTCTATCATGGGCCACAGGAACAGGTTTTGGAATCTATTTGACCTGAGTCTGAATCTTGATTCTGTTGTTTGACAACCTATAAACAAACATACAAAAAAACCCAAACTCATTGCCATGGAGTCAGTTCAACTCACAGCATCACCTCCTTGGGTTTCCGAGGCAGTCTACGGAAGCAGATTGCCCATCTTCCTTCTGAGACCTATATTTGCCTTTAAAAGAATTCTTTTGGTTTTTTCAAGTTAGTTTCCTCCTCTGTACAATGAATATGGTATACATGAGTGTTATTAGCAAACCATCGGTTTTATCATATGAAACGGAATCCTAAAATCCTTCTAGGTTCTCGAAGCAAAAGATTCCTGTGGTTAACCAGTAAGCAGTGTGTGATGAGGATGCCATTTTTAACTACGTTCTTAATGTTGGAGAGAAGTTCCCTTGCTTTTATTTAGCAGGGCCTGTTCATTTTAATTCAGCACCTTTATTTCTGCCTCACAAGCTTGATGTGAGGTTCAGTAACCTGACGGCTGTGCAGCTCTAGATGAGTGTCTGGCACAGGATGGTGCCTGTGTTAGTTGCCCTCCTTTCGTGTAAGGCGGGAACTGGTGATACTCATCTTTGGTGGCCCAGACAGGTTCACCTTGGAAAGGCTTAGAGACTGGCTTCAGGAAGAACTCCCTGTGTGCAGGTTTATTAGGTAAGTGGGAAGTAGAAACCCTTTGACAAGAGTTTAATTCTCCTCCCAGTTTTTGTCACGTAGCTTAACCTGCCGATTAAATGTGCAACATTAGACAGAAGCAGAAGTGTGGAAACATTTTTAAAAAGAGAAATGTAGGCTCATTGTCAAAATAACTGGACTTCTTTATAATTTTTCCCCCACAGAGTTTTAGGGTTTTCTCTTAGATAAATTTCAGTCACATCTGAGAATTTCTGGCTCATTTCAGTGCCCTGTGGTAGGCACCATGTGGGGAGCAGTCCTGGCTTGGGAATTGGAGACTTGCGTTTGCGTCCTGGTGTTACTGTTGACTTGGACACATGTGTCCTTGGTCAAGTCCCCAAGCCTCCGTGCGTCTCTGTCCTGGTACATACCATGAGACTTCTAACCTGCCCTACCTCAGTACTTACTCACAGAGTTCCTTAGAACATCACATGAAATAATTATGTGCAGACTGTTTAGAAAGTATGGCCGTCCAGGAGAAACCTGAGTGTTCTCAGCCTTCTTTTCGTTCCTCTGCATTTTCAGAGGGCACAGTGTTGCATTTTATGAACTGCGAGACATTGAAGGCATTTTCCTGTGGCCAGAGGGGCTTTGGTCCCTCTTCCCTGGTGCTGAGGTAGCATACTACCTCAGAGGTTTAAGGGCTTAGGCATTTCCCAAATAGCCAGAAAACAGTTCCTGGAGAGGTGGGACTGGGGCACTGAACCCCCTTTCCAGTTTCTGCCCAGAACACATCACCTCCATTAAGCCTTGATTAGCTCCCCTCAGTTCTCACTTCATTTGCATCTCATCTGCAGTGATGCATCGAGTTTGCAGCATGGGAATTGCTATCTGAGTGTTTTGAGGTCGTTCTGTGTCTTTTCTGTGTCTGGTCTCGTCTCCTCAGCTAGCTTGGGATCTCCCAAAGGGGAAGGGCAGTGGGCTTTACCCTTTCTTCACGACCCCTGGTAGAGCGTGCTCGACCTAGGGTGGTTTCTTACTTAACGATTGAGTACAGCTTGACCAGAGTGCAGGTCTGTTGGCTTCCTGTTTAAACAGTGTACACTGGGGGAAGTGTTCAGTTGTTCCAGGCCATACCTGTTAACGATTAAAGACAAAAGACATCCAAACAGTATACTGCTTGATTTGAAGGAACATGGTGGTGTTTCAGCTTCCCAAAACACTTGTTTTGCATTTTGCAAGTAATCTTGTGAATCATATTTGGTTGAAAGAACTGTAGTAAATCTTCCTTAGATACTTTGACGTTTTAATGGTATAATCTTTCGGGAATGTGGTGTTTGTGGTTGGTGGTCATACCTTTGCATGATATGGTCAACAGGCATTGTGCTCTGTCCTGAAAGAAAGACTTCATCTTTCCCACTTCCACTTTCAATTAGTTTGTTACATTATTGGTGACCCTTACTATTAACATTTCCAGTGTAGACCTGGAGATGGAGGAGACTTCTTGTGATACCCCCACTAGTTTATTTAGAACTGGCTACACTTGAAAAAGAGACTTTTCCCACTTGCACTGAGGCTGGCCTTCTTGAACACAAAAGAAAATAAAAGCATATTTCTTACCTGTGCCCTTAAGATCTGCTAACAATGAGTGAATGTTTCTTCCAAATGAACATTTGCATTTTATTTTCCAGATACTTCCTCTAAAGCCAGTGTGGCGCCACTAAGCCCTGTCTTTCCGTCCTCTTCAGGTATGTCATTGTCTGCTGGATCTTCCCCTCTGCACTCCCCCAAGATCACTCCACACACATCCCCTGCTCTCAGAAGAAGGAGTCACACTCCAAACCCAGCCAGTTACATGGTGCCTTCTAGTGCCTCCACACCTGTTAATAATCCGGTTTCCCAGACTCCATCTTCTGGTCAGGTGATCCAAAAGGAAACTGTAGGTGGGACGACCTACTTCTATACGGACACAGCTCCAGCACCGGTGACTGGAATGGTATGTCTGCATTAAAGTGGAGATTATAGCGCTGTTACGACAGTTCCATCTTATGCACGAAGAGGTCTCCCCTTCTTGCTCCTTGGATGGGAAAAAGCCACGACCTCGTTTTCTAACTTTGATGAGATTTTCAGTTTCTTCTAGCTCTCCATTTACTTCTGCATTACTAATAACGCTTTTGTTTTGGTTAACCTGGTGTTAATGAGAAATTAGATGGTATTTATGCTCTAGCTTAGTACTTTGGGGCATATTTTCCTTATGTGGTCATGTAGAACTCCTGTGAGTTGGGGTGAATGTTTAGTGACATTCTTTATAGGTGTGGATGGTTTTATCTTCAGTGGTAAGTTGGAGAATGTTGGTAGTATCTTATCAGTAGTTTTTGAAAGCATACTGAGAAACTCCTGCCTCGGTGATTTAACACAGCACTGAAGGGTCGTTGCTAAGGAAGAGAAGGCTCAGGTCAAAGGGACAGATGGTTGTGGATGAGAAGAGCCACCAAGGTTGGTGGTGAAGAGAGAGGAGAATTGTGAAACAAAAACATGACTACAGAGACCGAGACAGGAAGAGCATGGCCCGAGCCGATGAATTCTTCTCAGAGTGAATAAGTGATGGGCATGGGGTGGGGTGGGCCAGAGAAAAGCATTGTCATGTTCTGCGCATTGTACTTTTCTAGGTTCACAGTGTTGCCCATGTTCAAAACCGTTTTATCAACTAGAGAAAAACAAGTAGTGGATGAAGAGCTCAGGAGTCAGGAAGTCAGATTCCATTAAAACAGGAAGCTGGTCTGCGCCTTAGACGCTTGGCATGGTCGTGGACGATAGACCTACGGGGAGATGACATGGAAATCTGAGTATGCATATCTTGATCTTCCAAGTTAAACACAGATTTATTTTAATGATGCTTAACATGTTACTGGAAGCCAGTTTGAGTGGACGGCGAATCAGTTTTGGAGGCAGAAGTGCTGTTTCCGCTTTTCCGTCTCAGTTTGGCCGTTGTTTTGTGACTCACGGATCATCGTGCAGCTAAGGCTTTCCCTGTTTGTGAATTGAAGATGATCGTCCTCACCACTGTTGAGGGATAAATGTGAGCATGCTTATGGAAAGACCTGTAAATAAATGCTGTATTTTTTTAAATAATAACTCAGAAGTTAATGGTTTCTTTGGTCAGAAAACTTCCAAAAGCTCCCTTGGGACAGATCGCTGAAGCGATCAGGCAGCTGAGGTGGAGGCTGCCCTGTGTTCTCTCAAGTAAGAATTCCCTCAGGGTGTTTCTTCCTTTGTTTCTTTACTATATTTGATAGTCATTTACATTTTTATTTTATTTCCTGCTCTGTGCAGAAAGAACAAATTTAGTTTAATTGATCAAGAGGTCGTTTGGTCACAAAACTGCCTCAGTGCTTTTTATAGAGGTCAGATATGGTGTACTTTTAACGTTGTTACCCTTCAGGGCACTCTTCCAGATAGGCTCATGGTAACCCTGAGGTAGGTAAGTGGAACGGTGCCATCTGATGGAAGGAAAAAGCAGTGTTAGCGTCCTTGCGAGTGTAGGTGAGAGGAAACCTGTGAGGGTCGCAGAAGTACTTCTTGGTCGAGACCAGAGCAGGGCAATCATTTGAGGACAACAGAAACCAGTTGGATTCATTTTACAAAGAGAGGGAGAAAAAGTGCACTTCAGTCTACAAAGCGAAAGAGCGGGAGCAACAGGAGCCGTTTTTCAGTGCAGTTTGATCTTGTCCACGTGGCCCGTGTGAAGGAATGAAGGAGGCAGAGGACAAAGGAGGTTGACGCGGTGGCTTCCAGTGGGTACACTGACATGAGGGTAAGTGTACAAGTAGAAGAGTGAAATTCCAGAGGATGGACGTGGACTTGGTAACCCCAGTGTAGCTGGCCTGGAAGAGAAATACATCCTGCACCCTTTGGTTCATCAGAATGCTGCCTTGGAGTAAGCTGGTCCTCCTCGGGTATTTTGAAGTGTCTATAACAAGTATGAGCTCTGGTGGTGCAGTACCTAAGTGCCTAAGTCATTTGACTGCTAACTAGAAGGTTGGTGGTTCAAACCCTCCAGCCGCTCTGCAGAAGGAAGATGAGGCAATCTACTTCAGTAAAGATTTACTGCCTTGGGAACCTGATGGGGCTTGCTGTGAGTCAAAATCGACTTGATAGCAGTGAGTTTGGTTTTATAACAAGTATAGAAGTAGTGCTGATTGCTTAGTGCCTAAGGCACTTGACTGCTAACTAGAAGGCTGGCTGTTCAAACCCACCAGCCACTCCTCAGAAGGAAGATGGGGCAATCTACTTCCATAGAGATACCACCTCGGAAACCTAAGGAGGGGTCACTATGAGTCCGATCAACTCGATGGCAGTGAGTTTGGTTATTTTGGTTTATAGAAATAGTACTTTGCTTTGATTGGCCACAGAAAGCCCATCAAGAGGGCAGTTATTGGGGCCTCCAGGGCAGTGTCCCCATCATTATCTGAATGTCCCCAAACACTTCTAATAACTGCTTTCTTCCTCTCTTCCAGTTGCTTTTCAAAAATACCTACGAACTGTTATAACATTTCTTCCAAAGGGCTCTACTTTTGCCTTCTCTTTGAAATGTAACATTCTTACTGTTTTTGAAGAAATGTTTTCTTTTCTTGTTAGATTTTAAGAATTGAATATTAAAATATAAGATGATTTAGTTTTAAGAGAATTCATTCGGAAAGTATATTGGTAACAGCTATGCTGCGAGGTGTTTAACTCACTCTCATTTAAAGATTAAAAATGTATCGAAACAGTGGTAAAGCTTGTCACCTGAGAAGCATTGGTCATTGCATTTCCCCCTCCCTACCTTTTAGGTTTTTCCAAACTATCATATTTATCCTCCAACTGCACCTCACGTTGCTTATATGCAACCAAAAGCAAATGCTCCTTCCTTCTTCATGGCTGATGAACTCCGACAGGTATGCTTTCAGAATTCATAGTCAAAGCCTTGCCGCCTGCTTCACTCTGGGGGAGAACTAGAGAAAGGACAGAGCTCTCAGCAAGCCCTGTGTCTCGGCAAAGACAGGTACAGCTCTCAGCTCACATGCATAGGTTAGGAAAGGCAGTTTGGCCCAGAAAGGAAGCTCATTTTCACAGAACTTACTTTTCCAAAGTAGGTTTTATAAAATCATTTTGTTATTTTGGTTGTTGGTGCAAACAGTTACATGTTCTTCCTTAAAAAATCATTTGATATGTAGAATTTCACTTTACGCTCAGATTCTCAGAAATATATTTATTTCACAGAAGTAAGTTTCTACTGGTATGATGTTTATAGAGAGTGGGTTCTACCAATACAGCGTTTATAGAATGGATTCTACCAGTAAAACATTTATGAAAAAATGCCTTCTACCAGTGTGATGTTTATAGAATGGATTCTTGATCAGCTTATTAATAGACTTTGAGTTTTCAGTCCCAAAGATAGTCAGTCATATACTTTGGGTTATGGCATAGCTCCCTAAACCCAACTCTAACTACGGATAGATTTAATTTAACTAAGGTTGGAATTTAAACACTGCTGTCATTAGAAAGCTATTTCATGATTTTGATGTTAAAGAGTATGCATACCAGCAGGGTCTGTCCATACCTCATTTAGTTATAATAGGAACTGTGAGTTTCGGAGGTGGTGTTTACATGTGAATACACTGTTTCCTTTTTTAGGAGCTGATCAACAGACATTTGATAACCATGGCGCAAATTGATCAAGCAGATATGCCAGGTAAAAACAGAACTGACTCTTCTTTTCTTTTAAAGGTAATGATAACTGGTCTGACGGTCTGTGGGTTTCCGTGCATCACTGTGGTTAATACTAATATTATGTGTGAACACTTGATGAAGCAGAGGCACTTAGTGCATTTTGAGTATTGAATTACAGGGCTAAGGGGGAAGGGTTACTGTTACTGTTCCAGGAGCTGTGTGCCTGATAGTGTGCTCATCAAGTGCTTGGCATGTCTTTATCTTCACAGCAGTGCTGTGACAGGTGCTCGTCATGGCCATTGTGCAGATGGGGAGCACTGAAATTAACATGGGTAACTCATTTACCGTTAGGACAGTAGCTGGTAAATCGCTGGCCGAGTCAGGATTTGAACCCAGGTTTTCCGGACTATAGCACAGTGTTTCTTTGCAGTAAAACCTGTCTTTTCTCCTAGCTTACTTTGTACACAAATTAAATGCAGTATAATTTAGAAAAACTTTATAAATAATACAGTAGGAGTACACTTACCATAAAGATCATCTCAATCCCTGCTTCTAATCAAAGATTCCACCCAGGGCAGCGCACATTGTGATCATGGAAGAATTAAAAGGAATGTCCTAAGACTGATCTGTCATAACTTGTGAAATGCTCAAGTTGGAAAATTGATTAATTATTTTACATTCTGTTTGAGACCCTAGCCAGGGCAAAATGGGGGAAAATTAAAAAAAAAAAATGGAGACAGAAAGATTGGAAAAGAGAAAATGAAGCTGTCATCTGCAGGTGATAGGATTGTAGATCAGACATTTCAAACCAAATTCCAAACTCACTGCCATCGAGTTGGATGTGACTCATAGTGACCCCTCCTTGGATTTCTGAGGTGAGGTGATACCACTCAGAAGTAGATTGTCCCGTTTTTCTCCCGAGGAATGGCTGGTGGGTTTGAGCCGCCAGTCTTCTGGTTAGGAGTTAAATGCCTTAGGCATTGCACCACCAGAGCTCCCGCAGATTAGACGTATTTGAAATAAGAGTTTAGAGCATGGCTGGATATAAGATTAATATGTATCAGTTTCATTTCTATAGTCCTGTGTTGTTGTTGTTGTTGTTGTTATGTGCTGTCGAGTTGGACCTGACTCAAAGTGACCTCTCCTTGGGTTTCTGAGGCGGTATCTCTATGGAAGTAGATTGCCCAACCTTCCTACCAAGGAGTGGCTGGTGGGTTTGAGCCGCTAGCCTTCTGGTTAGCAGTCAGGTGCCTTAGGCACTGTGCCACCAGACCTGTAGTCACAGCTAAAGCCACTGCCATGGTGTCACTTCTGTACTCATGGTGACCCTGTAGGCCAGAGGAGGGTTCCAGGGTTTCTGAGGCTGCAACCTTTACAGAAGCAGATTGCCGTAACTTTCTCCCATGAAGCAGCTGATGGGTTCGAACCACCAGTCTTTCAGTTAGCAGTCAAGCACTTAACCACCATGCCACCAGGTCCTTGGTACCGGTAGTGAATAACTTCAGAATATAATTAAAAGAAAAGATACTTATCTTAATGATCTAGTGCTGTTATAGAAAAAATATCTCAACTGGATGACTTAAAGTCACTGCCGTCAAGTCAGGTCTGACTCATGGCGACCCCTCCTTGGGTTTCTGAGGCAGTATCACTACAGAAGTAGATTGCCCGACCTTCCTTCCGAGGAGTGGCTGGAGGGTTTGAACCGCCAGCCTTCTGGTTAGCGGTCAAAACAAGCAGAAGTTGATTCTCTCACGTTTCCAGAGGATAGAAGTCTGAATTCAGGGCTCTGGCTGTGGAGGCGGGTTTTCTGTTTCTTTTTGCTCTGGTGGAAGGTCCTTGTGTCTTCAGCTTCTGTTTCTTGGTTCCTTGGAGATGTCCCGGTGGCGTGGCCATCCATATTCCCTGTCTCGGCTTGCTTCGTCGCTTGTTTAATCTCTTTTATATGTCAGAAGAGGTTGACTTTAAGATGCACTCTAAACAGATACCGTCTCATTAACATACCAAAGATAACCCATTCCCAAAAAGGATTATAACCAAAGGCATAGAAGTTTTGATTTTAACAGCCAGTTTTGGGGGATACAATTCAATCCATAACAGTACACTATCTTTGGTCCTCCAAAACATATGTCCTTGCCACATGTAAAACATATTTACCACATTACATGTCAAAAATCTTAAATTAACTCCCAATCTAGATTCCATCCTGGGGCAAAGTTCCTCTTCATCTGTGAAATCTAAGTACAAATTACCTGCTTCCAAGTGCAGTGGCAGAACAGGCCCAAGGTGGCTATTTCCATTACAAATGGGGGAGATTTGAGGGAAAGAAGGGATAGCAGGCCCCAAGGAAGTCCATAACCCAGCAGAACAAATTCCGTTAGCTCTCAAGGCCTGGAAGTAATGCTCGGTTCTCAGACAGCATCTGGGCAATGGCCCACTCTCCAGGCTGTGCATATTGGCAACGCCCTCTGGATTCTCAGTGCAGACCCCTGGGCCCTGGGCTTCAGCCCCCACCTTGCAGGCCCACTGGGATGGCAGCTCTGCTTCCTTGGGGAGCCTCATTCTTTTAGTCTGTCTGAGTGGTGACTCCACCTCTTTGGCCCTGGCAGGCTCTGTTCTTCTGCCCCTTGGGCATAACAGCCCCATCTCATCAGCTTTGGGAAGCGGGCCCCATCCCCTTGGCACTTGTGAATAGCAGCCCCATCATTGAGTTTGTGAAGATCTGTCTCTTTAAAACTGAGAAGGTTGTGAGCCCCACCCTTTGGAACCGAGAAGGCCCTGCTTCCCGATTTCCTTCCAGCAGTTCTACTCATCTCCAGTCTAGTCTAGAGATGATCCTTCTCTTTTCTTGGAATATACAGATGTGGCTCCTTTGGCCCGTTTCTTGCTCGTAGAATTCCAAGAGGCAAACAGTTCTCTTTCCTTTTCTGGCCCCTTCAGTCTAAGCTAATGGAGTTTCTACTGTGGTAGTGTGTTAAACCCATCAGTCACAGGCTTAATCTCTTTAACAAAGGACTGTCTAGTCACATCTTTGGTAAAAGTTGTAGGACACGTGTCCTCAGTGTGTATAACAGAATTTTTCAACTCTTTGTAAGTTTTGTTTTCATTTTACATGGTTCATTTTCAAGACTATCTTTTTTTGTTTCGCATTTTACTGCAAGTAGCAAGGAGAAACCACACTGTCCCTTTAAGATCTTGCTTCGAAATCACCTCAGCCATATACAGGTAGTCTCTGACTTAGGGCAGGATGTCATTCCAGTGTCTCTGTAGTAAGTCAGTTCTGGTGTCAGTTGAATACCTCTTTGTTTTTAGTTTTCAATTACTGCCTTTTATTATGAACATCTTTATAAATCTGATCTTTGAACTTCTGTGAGTGAATATCTGTGTGTGATGACATCCGCATACTACATACTATAGTGCAGTATGTAGTGCATGTTACTAATGATACGATGTACTCAAAAAAAAAAAAAAAACCAGAAGTCAGTCATAAGCATGGTTCATCTAACTCAAAAGTGTTATAAGTTGGGGATTACCTGTGTCCAAGTTCTTCACTTACAAGTTCTGCCTTCCACCAAACACTTGAAAATACTTCAGACCAGTTCTTTACCCATGCATGAAAAGCATCACACGTCCTCCATTGTCCATGGCATGTTCATCATTTCCTTTTGAAGCCTCACCAGAAGCACACTTCACGTCCACGTGCCTAGCACCAGTCTGGTGCTGCGCCACGTGTAATCTCTAAGATGACGGAGACTTCCTCTGTGGCTCTCCTCACTCCTTCTGAGCCCTTCCCATTGCTGTTGACATCTGTCTTACTTCTCTAGTGCTGCTGTATCAGAAATACCACAAGTAGGTGGCTTTTAACAAATAAATGTATCTTCTTGATAAATTTTTAGGAGGCTACACGTCCACGCTCAGGGAGCCAGCTCTGGTAGAGGTCTTTTTTCTCTAATTTGTCTCAGAGGGAGGTCCTTGTCTCCTTTCAACATCTGTGAGCCCGGCATCCTTGGAGATCTCCATGTGTTTTGACAGCAGTCTTCCCCTGGGTCTAGGAGGTTCTCAGCGCAGGGACACTGGGTCCGAAGGACGTGCTCCGTTCCCACCTGTTCTTGGTGGTAGTCAGCCCTCTTTGCTTGCTTCTCTCTCCTTTATCTCTTATAAAGGGTGTGAGTTAAGCAAGGGTGTGACTTGAGTTAGGCTGTGGAAGATTAAGGGTGTGATTTAAGTCTGTGATGACTTGAGTTAGGGTGGGGGTTGCATCATACCCTCTTGTAAGGCTTATGGTATAACCCACCCTAATCCTGCCTCATTAACATATAACCAAAAAGACCAGACTCATTGCCATTGAGTTAATTCTGATTCATAGCGACCCCTGTTGGGTTTCCTAGGTAGTACATCTTTATGGAAGTAGCTTGCTCGGTCTTCCTTCTGCGGAGTGGCTGGTGGATTTGAACTGCTAACCTTCTGGTTAGCAGTCATATGCCTTAGGCACTACGTAGAGGTTAAGATTTACAACCCATATCACAAAATGAAGGACAGCCACACAATACTGGGAATATGACTTACTGAGATTGACACCACTTTGGAGGGACACAATTTAATCTGTAATAATGTGTGTAATTCTGTCAACAGTTTCTTCAAGACAACCTAAGCTTTTAGTATTACCAAAAAAAAAAAACAAACCCACTGCCATTGAATTGGTTCTGACTCATAGTGATCCCCATCAGGTTTCCAAGGCTGTAAATCTTTGTGGAAGTAGATTGCTTCATTTATATGCCACCAGAGCGCCTAGCTTTTGGTATCAGGCATCTTAAAACCCTCCCAGCTTCTGCCCATTACCCAATTCCAAAACTGCTTCCACATTTTAGGTATTTGGTAGAGCGGCAACCCCACGTCCGTACCAGATGCCTTAAACTAGACTCTCTAGAGGGGCAAAGGCAGTGAAGCAAATCTATAAATACATACATTTAGTTCAAGGAAATGACTCATACAGTTGTGGAGGCTGGCGAGTCCCAAATCTGTGGGTCAGGTGGCAGGCTGAAGGCTTCTCCAGGAACTGGAGATTAGATCACAAAACGAGTCATGATCCAAGAGAGTGAGTTTTGCCAGAGCATCCATGTGTACTGGATAGTAGCCACAGCCCCAAGAAAACACCCCTTTCAGATTATCTGCTAACATCAGTTCACAAAATGGATGATGATTCTGTAATCTTCCAGAGCACTGAGAATCGTGGCCTAGTGAAGTGGACACATAACCTTGACTCTCACAATGCCATGTCCAGTCATTTCAGAGTATCAGTACTTAGGGCTAAGTACAAAAAGAATATGTACTAAGAGATTAAGACTTAAATGGAATTCTGTGTTGATTGATAAATGTCCAAACTCATGGAGTCTATTCTGGCTGATGGTGTGACCCCATGTGTGTTAGAGTAGCACTGTCCACCATAGTGTTTCTAATGGCTGATTTTTAGATGTAGGTCTCCAGGTCCTTGTTCCAAGGTGCTTTGGGTGGACTTGATCCTCCAGCCTTTCAGTTAGCAGCTGAGTGCTTAACCATTTGAGCCACCCAGGGACTCCATATTTATGAAAAGCAAGGCATGATATACTAGTTTCATGAATAAGAAGACATAATCATGAAGATGGCAGTTTTCCTGAACTGTTGTATAGAGTCAATGTCATTTCAGTCAGAAGCATTACAGAACTGCTTATGGAACTTGGTAGAATTTGTCAAAGAACAAAGGGCCAAGACTACTCAAGACACTTGAAAGGAGATGAGTAGGGCAACTGTATGTACATGGGGGCAGGAGATGGCCTGTCGTAACTAAAACAGTGTAGTAATGGCACCAAAAAGACTCCTCTTCCCTCAAGTCTGTTCCAACTCATAGTGAACCCCATTGGGTTTCCAAGGCTGTAAATCTTTACGGAAGTAAAGTGCCTCATCTTCGATCGGCATAGCAGCTGGTGGGTTTGAACTGCCAGCCTTTTTGTTAGCAGCTAAATGATTTAACTGCTGTACCACCAGAGCTCCTTAGGGGTGAAGAGCATAGACTACAAAATCAGTGTGGCCTGGATTGGAATCTCAGCTCCCTTTTCAGCTGTTTAATTCTTATTTTCTTTATGAAATACACGTCTTAGTTTCCTAGTGCTGCTCTGACAGAAATACCTCAAGGGAGTAGTTTTTTTTTTTTTTTTTTTTTTTTTTTTTTTTTTTTTTTTGGGTGAAGATTTACAGAGCAAATTCACTTTCCATACAGCAGTTCACATATACTTTGTCTCATGTCATTAACCACAGTTTACCACAATGCAACAGCTTCCCTCCCACTTCCTCCCCATAGTTACCTCTTCCCAGTGACCATCCCTCCATACTCTCCTGCCCCCTGAGCTGTCTCCCTGTGCATAAGCAGTCCTTCCTTCTCCCATGATTGTTCTCTCTAGGGCGTGTGTCTACTTGAGGTAAATGTTTAACTCACATGCCTGTACATTGTTTGGCTGGCAACCACAGGTATGGGTTCAGTTCCAGACCTGAAGGGCAGCTAGGGGCCATAGTCTCAGTGGTTCCATCAGGCTCTATTGGACCAGCAAAGCTCAAGTATTTCCCACTTCAAGAGTGTGGTAGAAATGTGGTCAGACTGTACCCTGTCAGAGGTGGAAAACCCGCAAGACAGGGAACCAAGGCGGTCCCGCTGAGTGCCGTCTCTGACAGGTCTCACTGTGCATGTGTGTTCTGGAAAATACAGGGCAGTTGAAAGAAGGGAAGTAAAGTGCCTGCAACATACGGAGAAACTGCTTACCGAGTGCCCTTCAAGCACAGCTTTCCAGCCTTTGGATGAAGCCCCAAAGTGGGTTTCAAGGTGTCCAGTGTCTAGTGCCTCCCAGTGTATGGTGAGCAAACACTTGGGTGTAACATACTCTGCAGTGAATTTTTCTTCCTTGGAGGAGCATGGAGGGTGTGGTGGTAAACCTGTTTTCTTGTTAGGGATCCAAACTGCGTTACTCCGCTGAGTGGCTATATTGTGACTAGAACCAATTCCCTAATCTCAGGCATTTCTACTACCAGTTTTTCCTACTGCTAATAAACTGCAGTGAGCAACTTTATTAGCTGCAAATCTCTATTTCCTTGAGATACACTCCTTGAGTTGTACTTAATGAGCCAGAGCTGGGTTTTTAAAGAGTTTTGGTGCAGATTGCCAAGCACACGCACACACAGGTGCATCCGTGTGTACACTGCCCAGTTTATTGTTACTTGTTTGGAGTTTCCTTTTGATTTTGCACAAAACACATACAGAGAAGAATCAGGCTGTATTCGGTGTCAGAACCAGAAATGTCTGCTCTCTCTTAAGCGACAGCTCACATTGATGCTGACAGCACAAGCCAGAAATGTGTGTTGTGAAAAGCTGCCTCTGCCCAGCTGGAGTGGAGTGGACCAAAAAAACTACTGTGCTGTAGAAGTTAGGGCATAGTGTTGTGAATGAAGCTGGGTTCTCTCGACTTGTTTTATATGCCCGTTTGTCTTGATACCGAAACCAGGTTTTCTCTAGTAGTTAGGAAGGTAGACACTGTTGTTGATAAAGTATGTTGCAATACATGGGTTGGTCGTGGTAGATTTGGTTTCTGCTGTATTACTGGCACATAATTTACACGTGTCTGCGGTTTAAAGTCGTCTTCCTGTGAATTCCTGCAGCCGTCCCTACAGAAGTGGACAGCTACCATAGCCTGTTCCCTCTCGAGCCACTGCCACCACCCAACAGGCTGCAGAAGTCCAGTAACTTCGGGTATATGACGTCTTGTTACAAAGCTGTAAATAGTAAAGATGATCTTCCGTACTGCCTCCGGAGGGTCCATGGTAAGTAGACTCAGTCAGCCTCTTTTATAAGCCGGTTACTGAGGCTAAGATACCGCACGCTTCTGGGGGTCTTGGTCTGTTTAATACTTGACTTTCAGGGACAGTGAATAAATTATTCTTTGGACAGCATTGCCTAATAAGTGATGTACAACAGGGCTTTTCAGTTCTGGTGGACTAAGGGGAGGTGTCCTGTAGCCTTCACGATAACAGAGGTGAGCCCTGGTAGTGCAGTGGTTAAAGTGCTCAGCTGCCAACCAGGTGGTCAATGGCTGGACCCCACAAGTTGCTCTATGGAAGAAAGATGTAGCAATCTGCTTCAGTAAAGATTGGTGGCCTCAGAAACCCTATGAGGGCAGTTCTACTCTGTCCTATAGGGCCACTGTTACGTGCTGTCGAGTCTGACCCGACTCATAGTGACCCCTCCTTAGGTTTCTGAGGCGGTATCTCTACAGCAGTAGATTGCCCAACCTTCCTTCCGAGGAGTGGCTGGTGGGTTTGAACCGCCAGCCTTCTGGTTAGCAGTCAAGTGCCTTAGGCACTGTGCTACCAGAATTACCATAAAGCCGCTAGGAGTAGGAGTTTACTGGATAGCAGTAGGGTTTTTTTTTTTTTTTTTTGGGGGGGTAGCAGAAAGTCTTTCTTTTTCAGGTTTTCGTCTCGTTAACACAAAGTGCATGGTGTTGGTTGATATGTGGAAAAAAATTCAGCACTCGAACATTGTAACCTTGCGAGAAGTATTTACCACTAAAGCGTTTGCGGAACCTTGTGAGTGAGGGGCACTGGCTTTCTGCTGGGGGATTCGTCATTGGAAGCCATTCGGCACTGATGTGTGTTTGTGTTCCCTGAAGCTCTTGTGTTCGCGTATGATTTCCATGCTGGAGGAGAGACCATGATGAGCAGGCACTTCAATGACCCCAACGCGGACGCCTATTTCACAAAGAGGAAGTGGGGTGAGCAGACCCGAACATGCTGTGTCCTGACAGACACTTCTCTGTTGCACAGGAAGGAGTTTTATATTTTAAAACAAATGCAGATTTAATCTCTAAATCATTCAGTTTATATTTCATCTGTAAAGAAGTGTCTCAGAGAAAGGGAATTGCTCAGAGAAAGGGAATTGCTCGCAAGAGGCCGGGAGCTGATGCCGGGTGTGTTTTCTGGGCTTGAGTTGGGTTGTGGGAGGCTCGCATCAGCATCTGATGTTGGGAACGATGGAAAGTTTTTCCTCTTAAATTCTTTCTCCTTAGAAAATAGAATGCTTTCCGAATGAAGATGATTTGGAAAATTCAGTAAAAGAAAAATCGGATCTCCTTAGCTTTGTCATCTGAAACTCAACCAGTATGAATATTTTGGTGTAGCGCTTTCTTGTTTGTTCTTTTTGGGTTTATCTTTGTTTTTGTTTTTATCACATATTCTTGTTTATCAGGACCATAACTATTTTCCTCTCATTTTTACTTTCTAAATATAAAATAGTGACTCCCTCTTAGTTCACTGTGACTCTCATCAGTTACGTGCTTATTTAAAGAGATTCTCAAATTACTTTCACGTAAACATGGGTCATTTGCTTGCCTTTTTTAAATTTTTTTTTTACATTAAGGTGGTGAAATATATATAACAAAACATTTGCCATTTCAACTGTACTGACTTGTTTTGCCCTTTTCTAATATTTACTTAAAAATTTGTTTAGTAGTTCCAGTTTTGCAAAGGATCAGAATATTTTAATTGTAACTACAAGTGTTCACTAAACAGTAAATTTTTCAGAGAAAAACTAAATCCATTTTGACATATCCATTTAGTATTAGTTTCCATACTTGCAGAAGGAGGTGCCATTCGCTGGTTTGGGAGCAGAAAAAAGCATTGCATTGTTACTACGGTTTTCCATTTGTTAAAGGTTTTTCTTGAATGCATACTGGTGGAAATTAAGGGGAGAGGGACTTGAGTCCACACTGTACTCAGTCTCTTTCAGATTGTGGCTCCTTGGCAGAGTTGAACTCTGGTTGAAAATACAGCCCTGTCTGTTTACTGGTGACTTGACTCTCCCCTCAACAGTTGAACGTAGAAACTTGTGGTTACATGGCTGCTTCCCGTTACGAATCTGCCCGCACCGTGTGGTCTGTTTTCTTGTCTTTAGCCATGTCATCTGCAGACATGTGCTTAATTTTGTGGAAGGGGATGTGGTGTAACTTTTCCTCTAGATAATAGGGTTGCAGTCGCTCCAGTTTATTTTAGTCGGAACACCTGTGAAGCAACTGTTGGTTTTAATTTATAGCTGCTTTCTTGTTGACCTCAGCGCTGTGGGCTGATTTGTGGTGGGGCCGCCCTGTGTGTTGCATCGTCCCTGACTTGACCCATGAGGTGCCAGTGGTACCCTCCTCCTCTCACCCTCAAGGCAGCCAAAAATGTCTCCACACATTGCCACTTGTCCCGGGGTGGGGTAAGGGGGATTCAGCCCTCTTTGAGACCCACTGATTCATAGAATTCCTTTTTAAAAGGGTTTTATCTTAGTTGTCTTGGTTTGGCTGTTGACTTACTGACTGATACATTAATGTTTAAATTTTCATGAGCCTCGGCCCATTTTCTAGTATTTGGAAATACTGTTGGAATGGTAGAATCTTTCCTAAAGGCACTATGTGTGCCTCGACTCAGGGCAGCTTCTGGTCCCGGGAATCCCTTGTTCTCCCAGTGTGAATATTACAAAACGGAAAAACTGTAGTGGCCAGTGTTGCATAAACTTTTAGGGACACAGACGAAAGTCTGATTGTGTTGTTAGATTATTTAATTTGTAAGCACAAACTTGGAAAACCACGTATTTACTATAAGAAACATAGTAGTTTAGAAAATGAGAATAATAGCAGTGGCATACCCAGAGGCGCATCAGTGTTGAATGAGCACGTGGAGGTAAACGTTCAGCCCCCAGTGGGCACTGTATGTCTGCTGTACCCACACTTTTCCCTCGTCACCAAGTTTGACGAAAGTCGTTTCGTTTAAACTCTTTCTATTCATCTTTGATGTTGTCTTGGCACTTGGTTCTAGATCTGCTCTTTGGGTCATCTTGTGTTTGCTCAGCATATCATCTTCAGTCTGTCGCGGCTGAGAGGGAGCACTGTTTGAATTGTCTTTGTGCTTCTCAGTGGGAACTGGATCCTGCCGGCAGTGCCTGTTTGCTATCATGACAGTGAACAACTGAGCTTTATTCCTTTTTACTTGATACAGAAAAGGTTTATTGAGATAAAGGAGATCTGGTGGCGTAGTGGGTAAGGCATTTGGCTGCTAACTAGAAGGTTGGTGGTTCAAATCCACCAGATGCTTCTCGGAAGGAAGATGGGGCAGTCTACTTCCATAAAGACTTATGGCCCTGGAAACCCAGTGGGGTTCACTGTGAGTGAGAATCGACTCAGTGGCGGTGGGTTCGTTTCTTGGTTTTCTCCTGGAGGTAGTTATAAAGCCTGGGTTAAATTGGCATGCCCTTCTTTTCCACTGACCTAAACGTTAGCCTAGGAAATACCATTGAGAACACCAGTGAGTGTTGACAGAATCACGATGACGGCTTCTCGATGGTGTGTTTTGTCATTGTCCATAAGTGGCATTCACTTTGTCATGGTTGTGTTTGTGTAAATTGAATGTCATCCTGTCTTACTAACAAGACTGTATTAGACGAGGATGACCCACAGTAGGAAAATTAAATAGAAATTCAAGAGAAATGTTGGTTTGCTGCTATTGTCAACTGCCATAAAGTCAGCAGCTTGTGGTGGCAACCCTGTGCACGTGGCATTGGACCGCTGGCATCCATAGGGTTTTCATGGGCTGGTTGTTTTGGAAGTAGATCTCCAGGCCTTTCCTCCTAGTCCGTCTTCATCTGGAAGCTCCCTTGAAACCTGTTGAGCATCACAGCAACACGCCGGCCTCACTGACAGATGGGTGGTGGTGGTGCGTGAGGGGCACTGTCTGGGAATCGCCTTCCACGCAGGCGAGCGTTCTCCCACTGACCTGCTGCTGCCCCCAGAAATAACGGCAGAGACCAAATTTCCTCAGTCCACAGAAGGAATGCTTCTCACGACGTAGACTGGGGTTACCCACATTTTAATTAAAACACCGTTCTCTACACTCACTGTTTTTAATGAAAATGTGTATTTACTTGGTCCACACTTAAATATAAACTCGCCCTTTGAATCATTTTCTTTACTGCTCGAAAGTTCTAATGGCCGCAGCAGGGAGTGCTGCAATGGGCACTGGGCCGCTGCCAGCAGCGCAGAGGGAGTCATGAGCAGGAGACTGGCTGTGTCCCTTAAGGTCTTACTGCTGGAGCTAAGCTTTAAGAATATATGTATTGAAATACATATTTGTACACACACATATATAGCTGTAAATAGGCCATGCTATGAATACCCATGAGTTTTCTTTGTTAATTTTTAACAACTTTATCTTGTTTTTTGTTTTCTTAATTTTGGTTTAGATGTTTTGTGGCTGTTGTGTATATTTAGTTTATTACTTCCGTGAAGATGTCATCGTTACATGCATTTGTTCTGTAGGTCAGCATGACGGACCACTGCCCCGACAGCATGCTGGTTTATTGCCAGAGTCTCTCATCTGGGCCTATATCGTCCAGCTGAGTTCTGCCTTGCGTACCATCCACACGGCGGGCTTGGCCTGTCGAGTTATGGACCCAACGAAGATTCTGATAACTGGCAAGACAAGGTACTAGCATTTTGAGTTGTGGCTTCTTTATTCAGCATCTAATCTTTTACAGTTTAGTGAACAAAATATGATGACTTGTTTTAATTCTACCTTTTCATATACCCCATCCAGAAGACCTGCTGTGACTTGAATTCATGTGTAAGTTTAAAAAAAAAAAAAGTTGAATTTTTAATGAAATGCCTGCTTATTGGCCAAAATGCTTGGTTTGGGGCAGGGAATTGTGTGTGGCTCGGGTTGGTGGGATACTGATGTGTATCAGTACAACTCGTGTTTCTTTTCTGATGAAAATACATACAGCAAAATCCACTCCCATTACATGGTCTAGACACCGTCATCATGAGACAGTGGTCCCTTCCTCCCACGTGTCACCATTCTTGTTCTGTCTGTCCTAGTTGTTTCTCTTCCACTGACCTACTCTCCCTGCTCCCTCCCACCCCCTTTCTCATCTGGGCTTTAAAATAAAGCAGCTGACCGTTAGGTCTTACATTTTTTTTTTTTTAATAAATAACACAGTACTTAGGGGTGACAGTCTTTCATTCTTTGGACTAAACTGTTACTTCATTTAAAGGTGACATCAGGGGATAGTTTCAGTCCAAGTTTTGAAGAGCAACTCGGGGCCATAGACTCAGGGGCTTCTCCAGACTCAGTAGGTCCATTGAGTCTGGATTCTGTAAGAATTTGAAGTTGTGTTGCACACTTTTCTCCCTTTTCATTGAGATTTCTCTACTCTGTTGCTGATGAGAATGTTCAGTGGTGCATCTAGTTCTTCTGGTCTCAAGGTAGAGGACACAGTCGTCCATTCAGGTCTGGAGCCTTGGAGCACAGTTCCATCGGGAGTTCTTGGGTCACCTTGAGATCTTTTTAAATGCAGGTTTTTGGGCTTCACACCAGAGTTTCTCATTTGTTGGGTCTGGGGTGGAGCCGGTGAATTTGCGTTTCTAGAGAGTTCCCAGGCCACTCTCTGCTGGGTGGTTTGAGCCACACTGGTGAAGAGTTCTCTTACACAGAGCATGACTTCACCTGAGTTTTATTGGAGTTGCTGTAATTTCAAGAATCATGTTGGGAGCAAAGCATGGTGACCTCTAAACCTGGCCCAAGGTCCTCTGGGTTTGGGGCTTGGCTGTGATAGTTACTCTGTGTATGACCTTGAGCAAATTACTTCTTTTGTTTGACAATGATGTGACACAGATAGTATTAATATGTCATATTGTCTTTATTTCCCTTGTTCATAAAGTATTGAATTTCTGTTTGTATATAATCATTTAAAAAAATCTAATGTTAATCTCTTCTTTTTAAATTCTCTGGTCCTTAAAGGTTGCGAGTAAATTGTGTTGGAGTTTTTGATGTTTTAACATTTGATAACAGTCAGAATAATAACCCATTGGCATTAATGGCTCAATACCAGGTGAGTGAAAATTAGCATGGACACTTCTTAATCACTTAAAGCCTGATGTTTTAAAAGACAAACTGTATTAATTTTAAAGTATTCGGGATTTTTATTCTGGGCATCTTGCAGATTTTGGAAATGTGTTTCTGTAATTACTGTGATGAGCCTGTAGTTTATAATAAGCAGGATTGACAACCATCTCAGACTCTAGCTGTCTATAATGAAGCTCAGCGTATGTCATAGGAAGTCTCTCTGTCTCTACAGCGTGAGTGAATGGAAGCAGGTTAGCTGAGTGGATTACACTAAATGACATGTCACTCTTTGTCACTCTAGTGTGTTAGAAGCCACACCTCTTTCACTTCTAGAGCACTTGTCACGTTACAATCATGACATTTTAGAAATATTTTCAAAGGCATGTTAGTGGGTTGCTGTTTCTGAGTCATTGGGTCCTCTGATTCACCCCGCTATGCTCTCGGCTCTTCCTTAGGTCTCGGTTGTCTCACGTGATGAGGTAGAGAGGAGTCGGAGCCTGGCTCTGCAGCTTGCTCCTGCTTTGATGACTGTGCGGTCACCGTGGCTCTTTCCAGTAGACATGTCTGTCGTTCGGCGTGTGTTACAGTGCTTCACCACGTATTTTTGGGCGATATGCAGCTGTCATTTTAAGACAGTCTTAGGTCTTTTTGTGTAAGAATTTTTTGTTTCCTCTGAAAATTGAGATAAGGCAAAGGCAGAATGGCTTCATCACAGGAGGCTTTAAGGAAAACACATCTTCACATTGCCCTTGGCCTTTCAACTTTTGTATAAATCCCTGAAAAAAACTTTGAGTTCACTTTACTCTGAGATAAAATTTCAGGACAAACAGGGAAGAGAGGGCAGGATGAGAAGTTAGGTCGGTCTGGTTAGTGCTTCGTATTTCCATACAGGAGTAAATCCCTTCTGGTTACTGAATCACAAAACACTCGACTCCCAGGTTTTCTCGCAGACCTTCCCGGCCCCAGCCCCAGGCTGTCCTGGCCGGCAGCGCCATCTGGTGGACGCTACAGGGAAGCACCTGACTCTGTCCCCAGCCACTGCTGTCTTCTGCTTAAGGTCTCTAGTCCCTCTTCCTTACGCAACTAGGAAAGTTTCTTAGCAGCTCTCCTTCATATCTTCTGTTTTATGTTTACTGTTGGTCTCCAGTGGGTTCCGACTCACAGCAACCCTGTGGGATGGAGTACAGCGGCCCAGAGGGCTTCCAAGGCTGTCGATCTTTACGGAAACAAAGTCCAAACCAAACCCACTGCTGATTCTGAGTCACAGTGCCCCCAGAGGACAGGGTGGAACTGCCCCAGAGGGGTTCCAAGGCTGTGATCTTCCCGGAACACTGCCTCTTCTTTTTCCCGCAGAGCAGCTGGTAGGTTCAAACCCTCAACCTTCCAGTTGGCAGCTGAGTGCATAACCACTGTGCTGCCAAGGCTCTTTGTTTTATATTTAGAGCCCAACTAATTGGCTTTGATTATTTATTTAGTTCACAATCTTTGTGCTTCCAGAAGTAACCAATTGTAGTTGTTAAATTGCTAGTGATCTTCCTGTAGGCAGGAGGCTAGGATTCAATATTTGAGAGGAAATGAGACATTATTTAGAACCAGTGCCATCAGTCTCTGTTGCACCTGGAAACACCCCCCACCCACGTTACAGAAGACAAAGCAAAGGACACACCTCACAGCGCTGCCTCATTCTTCTCCCACCAGGATGCGTAGTTTTAAATTACTTGCTGGTTGTGTTTTTCTTTGCGTGTCACAGTGGTAGTATGTTTTACTTTCCTCTGCAAGTGTGGAGCTCTGGGGGCATAGTGCACAGTATTTCAGTTACATTATGAGTCCTGTAGTTATCCTGAACAATAAACTTTTGATTAGCAAAATAGGCCTTGAGTTCCACACCGCCAAATGGGGAAATAAACCTTAAATCAGGCTTGGAAACAGCTGCTTCGTAGGGCAGGAATCACCTTCCTTCCTCAACTCAGGCAACCTTCTGTCATTATCACTTGTCCTTTATTCTCAGAAGTAAAGGATATGTTAGGTTTCTTTTCGTGTATGTGTGTGCAAGTGTGCATGTGTACACACGTGTGTACATGTGCATGTGTGTATTTATGTGGGAGATTTTTCATACCACTCATTGTAAAATGTTGGGGAAAATTTGAGATTGTCCCCAGAGGGGTTAGTGTTTTTACAGAGACGAGGACCCCTGAGCAAGGCATTGTTTCTTGTAGTCTGTCTTTCACAGTCTGTTTCAGACATGTGGCTTTCAGTAGAGTGGACATAAGTAGAGCCATAGCTAGAAATCAAGAACTGTGAAAACCAGGAAGAAACTGACAGTGAATTGGGGGAAAACCTCCAGAATTCAACAAAGGGGGAGGAAAACCAGATGGAGGTAACAGCCACCTACCACATGGGAAAGCGCTGAGCTGGGAAATACCTGAGGAGAGTCGGGGAGCTTTTGTGGTGTCAGACCCTCTTAGTTACGCAGGACTCTCTTGTTAAAAGAAAAAAAAACAGAATTTAACTCCTGTTTATGTATTCTGTTTCCAAAAGTGGTTGTGTGTACCTAGCGCAGTGTCAGTTCAGCATGGGGCCGCGGGAGAATATTCCCGTTTGGAGGGCGGGGGGCTGCGTGCTGCTTAGCCAGCCGCCCGCCCGCAACAGCCTTCACCTGCTGTGCTGAGCATGCCGGGTGGCGGCGTCTGGGATCATGACAAGCATACAACTCTGTTGAGCCACATTTTCTGTGATTTCACGAATGTGACTTGGAGTTTCTGGCTGTGAGGAGTGACTGAGGGGAGTCCTTCCTGGGGTTAGTGGTAGTGTCCTCCAGTCATGGCCGCCCTGAGAGTGGCCTCCCTTGCCCTCTGGCCCCCTCTGTGCCACTGAGGCCACTGTGTCCTGGGAGGGAATCCTTGGCGTCTCCCGCCTCGATAGATTCAGGGTAGTGAGCTGGTCTGCTTTCCGCTGCTTTACAGGCTCTCATTCTCAAGGACCAGTCACGGCTTCTTAGTTTGGGAACTTTGTCAGGTTGTTGTTTTAATGACAGAGATTGCCTGTGTCTTCTGATTTAGGTAGATGCTGGGAAGGATCGCCAGATAGCGCTAAAATATTATTAGTGATGGCCTTGAAATAGCTAGCTAGTTGCCCAGCCACACCAGTAACAAAGCCCATACTATATCAGTGCTTCTCAAACGTGCCTGTTGGAATCTCTTGTGGGAGCTTTGAAAGTTCCCAACCCCTACATTTCACCCCTGACCAGTAAGGCCAGAACTGGGAGGGGAGGTGGCCGGTAAGCAATGCTTTCTGTGGTCAGGCTGCTGGTGATTTTAATGGCAAGGTTTGCCTGCAAATTCCTTACACTAACCCCTCCTCAGTAAACGGACAGGCGTTCCTGGTTCAGCCGAGAGCTCAGGTGCTGGGATAGTTGCAGAGGTCTTCTGTGGAAACTGCTGGCAATAACTGATATTACATCAACTCTGAAATCCTCACCCCTGCCCCGTTCACCTAGTCATGGGACGATTTATAACTGCCAGCCCAGTGGGGCCACTTGGGGTGGCACTTCCGTTTGCTGGCGTTGGGGTAGGTGATCCTCAGTTTAACCAACTGTGTTTTGAAAACTCTTTCAGAAAGGAAAGCCTCAGGATGCGAAACTTGGGGGAAACAAGGGGGGGGGGCGACGGGAATCAAGTGGTTAATGAATTCGAAAATGTGTTGAAATGCGCATTAGAATAGTCTCTGGCAACAAAGGTCGATGAGAGTCAATGGTGAAGTGCGCTCTAAAATCAGGTGGTGCTCCTAGCGTGTTCTCAGTGAGCTCGCTGTTTTCCCAGTGATTTTTCAAGCCCCCACTGTATCCGGGGAGCCCCGAGAGGTGCGAAGAGTGCAGATCCTAACTTGATGCCATCACTGTAAAACAAGAGTGTATGACCCCCCCTTTGATTGTGTGCAAGGAATCCCAGCTGTATTTCAAACAAACAAAACAGCTCTCACAAAGCTCACTTCCCCTAGGTTACATGTGCATTGCTCAGTGTTTCTTAAAGGCCGTTCTGGAACCTCCTTTCTCGGAATCACCTGGGTGTTTGACAGTGGCGGCCGGACCCGGTGGAGGGCTCATCAGCCGGCTCTTTATTAAGCTCCCGGGTGGCTCTGCTGAGCAGTGACATTGGAGATCCCCTCTGAGTTCTGCCCCTTCCTTACTCGCAGGGGAGCCCCCGTAGGCAGGAATGTCAGTGCAGTCGATGGTGCCTGTGAAATAAGAATTAAAAGTCATATTTATTCTTTCATGTCAGCAAGCAGATCTGATATCATTAGGAAAAGTTGTGTTGGCTTTGGCTTGCAACTCTTTGGCAGGAATTCAACGAGACAGTTTACAGAAAGCCATGGAACTGGTGACAATCAACTACTCCTCTGACCTGAAGAACCTGATTTTGTAAGTTGTTTTCTAGGGTGAGCTTCTGTTGGGAGCACTGGAGATGGGACAGGGGCTGGGTTCATTCTAAGCTTGGGTGTTGGTTTTGTTCCTGTGGGGCCTTTTACTGGTTAGTAGTTGAGTTCCTGATTATTTAAATTCAGGGAAAGCACAACGGTTTTCATTTCCTTATTCTCACTGCTAAGTCTGTGTGTTGGAGCAAGTGCACACATCAGGGTGTTGAAATCAGTTGTTGATGTTTTAAAAAAATTTGTTCCAAGGCCACTCTTTAGAGCTGTGTTGCCTAATAAGGTACGTACGAGCCACATGTGACACTTTAAGTTCAGATTTGTTAAAATTAAACACGATAGAAAATTAGGCTCCTCAGTTTCATGGCCTCGTTTGCAGAGTTCAGCAGCCACATGTGATACTGGCCACCTTGTTGGATAGCGCACAGCAAACATTTTTGTCATCTCAGAAAGTTCTGTTGGATCATGCCTCTCTATAGGATAAGGAGTAGCTTTGTGAAAGTGGCCATACGAACCCCCGGGCACAGCCCGTGCAGCCCGGTTCCATACTCCACTCAGACGCCCCTTCCAAGAACAGGCCTGGGGAGTACCCAGCCCAGTGCCAGAGGTTTTAGGGAATCCTTGGGTATGTGTTCACACTGACCATGGCTTAAAAGAGACCCACAGTGAACCCTTGTCACCATGGAGTGACTGTGCCCTACCCGAGACGGAGCCAGCACCGGGGGACTCAGAATGTGGGCAGCTTGACCTTCATTACAGTCAGGAGCTGTGTGAGAGAAGACACTAGGAGTCTTCTTTGTAAATGTCCCTGTTATGTTCTAGACACAGTGGGAGCTTCTTGATCCTTACCACCGGTCCCTTGGCTTCCAGCTGGTTTCCCTGTCTCACCCGGAGCCAGGGACGATCCAGTTTCTTTTTGGACCCACCCCAGAGTGTGGAATTGGAGCTGGGAGATGGGACTGCCTTCTGGGCCTGGTCACACTGACTCAGCGTCCTGTTGTGACAGAGCCCTGGAGGCCAGTGGTTACGGGTTCCTGTTAATGGTCAAAGATGAGTTAACTCCTAAATGGACAGGTTTCTTTCGTGCATGATCGATTGATCGTAGCAGTGACTCTGAGCGTTCCTTTTACAGTACCTAGGATGTCTCCAGTGATCTTAGGTTCTAACCTTCACATTATGCTTTTTTTTAAAAAGTGGGGCTAGAGGAGATCAGGGTGCTACATTGGCCATATGTTAATCATGACTGAAACTGAGCAATGGTGTATGGGTTCATTGTACTATTTTTTGCTACTTTTATATATGCTTGAAATTTTCTAGTAAAAAGTGCTTAAATCAAAAAGTCACATGATAATTATAGCCAAGAACTAACATTTATGGAGCAATCAGCTATGTGTGAGCTACTTGATAGGAATCCACTCACTCACTCACTGTCGTTGAGTCGGACCTGACTCATGGCGACCCCTCTTTGGGTTTCTGAGACAGTATTACTACGGAAGTAGATTGCCCAGTCGTCCTTCTGAGAAGTGGCTGGTGGGTTTGAACTGCCAGGCTTCTGGTTAGCAGTCAAGTGCCTTAGGCACTGTGTCACCAGAGCTCCTTGATATGAATTAATTCCCTTAATTCTGTTAAGTTAGGTACCATTATTAGCCCTGTTTTAGACATGGCAGGGCTGATGCACAGAGTGGTGCAGTAACTCACCCAAGTCAAACATCTCGTCATAACTTGTCATTGTTGTCACTTGCCATTGAGTCGATTCTGCCTCTGCAGCCCCATGTGTGCAGAGTAGAACTGCTCCCCAGAGGACGTCCAAGGCCACCACCTTTTAGAAACATCACCAGGCCTGTGTTCTCAGGTGCCTTTGGGTACGTTTGAACAGCCAGCCTTTTAGCTAGTAGTCAAACCCTTAACCGTTTGTGCCACCCAGGGAACCTTAAGTGTGAGTAGTTAGAAATATGTCTGTGGTTATAGGTAAGTAGCTCACACGTAGGTCATCCACGTGGATGCAGCTGGTCATTTCTTCCAGAGAGAATGCCTGCTCTGTGCAGTGCTGAGGAAACCCTGTACAATGTGAACAGAACTGCCTGTCTTCTGTAGCTTAACCTCATGGGGAGGAGGAACTCATAAACATGTAAACAACAAGATCTTTTCAGAATGTGATGACTCCTGTGAAGAAAAGAAGGCAGACTAATAAGGGTGGGGGCTGCCTTTATGAGGTGTCCCGCACCTCACTTTCCTGTCGGCAGAGGCTTCAAGGACTGAGGTCCATTGTATTCTAGTGGGGCCCTTTGAACTGAGTAATACTAGTTATTAAGATGCTCAAATTACTGTGAAAAAGAAGCCACCAGACTGGTTTCTGTTGATGGGTGAGAGAAGAGACAAACAGGGTTTGTACTGGCTCTCAGCCTTCTCCCGAGAAGAGAAATGTAATCATTAAGCTTTGAAACTAACTTGACTCATGTGAAAGAAAGGGTTTTCAAAACTGAGCATGCTCCCACGATGGTGGTGCAGCCCCTAGGTGTCTGTGGGCTCTGCTGGCTCCCCAGGTGCTGGTTTAGCTGTTGTGAAAGTGGCTCTCCTCTCTCTGGGTTAGGTATTTGTTGACTGACCAGAACAGGATGCGGAGCGTAAACGATATCATGCCCATGATTGGCGCTCGCTTTTATACCCAGCTGGATGCTGCTCAAATGAGAAATGATGTCATCGAGGAAGACCTCGCAAAGGTAAAGACCGTCGTTAACAGAGGGATGCCCCTTGGACCTGTGTGTATAGATACCAAACATAGTCAGTCAGCTTTGTGCTGCATCAAGGGGGTACTGGTTAAAAGACTGTTGGCACATATTTTAGTCCAAACTGAATGCTTGGTATTTAAATACCTTATATCCTTTGGACATTTATTTTTCTTCTTTCCATTCGTGGCTTTGCTACAGCCATGTGATAAAATCTTGATTTCTTTTCGTGTGAGTTACATATATTTATAGTTACTGAAAATGGCCAGCTGCATCACATTCTTGAGTACCACCATTGGTGTGTTTCAAAGTGTAAGCAAAAGGTGGGACACTATGTAAAAAAGATGGGGCTTATGGTCTGATCGAGGCTGGTAAAATCCCAAGACTGCAGCCCCTAGTCACCCTCAGGCCTGCAGTTGAAATCAATACCATGGCTTCCAGACAAATGTTAGACAGATAGGGTGAACATTGCCCCAGGTGGGCGCGCACTCCTTAGAACAGTCAGCCAGGGGAGATCAGAAGGCAGCATTTACACAGGGAGACAGTTCGGGGCAGGAGTGCATAGGACAGAAGGACACAGGGAAAAGGTAACCCCAGGGAGGAAGTGGGAAGAGAACTGTTACATGATGGGGATTGCAGTCAGTGTCCTGAAAGAAAATGCACATGAACTGCTATATGGACAGTGAATTTGCTCTGTCAACTTTTCACCCAAATCACAATTTTTTTTTGTTTTTTTAAAGGAGGGCCAATTGGGATGTATTATTTAAAGTTAATTTTGGTGTTGGACACCAATGTTGTATACTTCTGCTATTATATTCATTTAGCTGGATCATTAACATTCTCTTTCTTTAAAATGTTTTGTAGGAAGTTCAAAATGGAAGACTGTTTAGGCTTCTAGCAAAATTGGGAACAATCAATGAGAGGCCGGAGTAAGGATTTACAGTATTTTACACTGTTTTCAATGGCACCATCTTGAATAATGACAATGAGTATACTTTGTTCTTACTGATTTAATTGAAAAAAGTGAAATTCTTATGTGAAGTAACCTTAAGACTGTTGTTAGCCAGTAGGGTGCAGTTTGTCAGCCAGTGCCCTGGATGTGGCTGTCTTTGGATTTGACACTCATAAACACAAAGATGTACGTGTTAGAACCACTCTTCGAGTTTTATGACTGACACCACCTCTACCCTGTCTCTTTCTTGAAGCCTGGTCACACGAGTCGGCCATGGTTAGTGTAGAGTCCTTAGAAGTCTCTCTTTGTTGTGTATCTCTTAACTTCTATTAAAGCACCTGTTTTTTATGTCATGTCAATGGCAGTGAAAGGACATCACCATCTCCTAGTTTATCCTTCAGTTCTGCCTTGCTTGTAACCTAAAGTTCATCGTATCTTTGAGACACGTAAGCAGAGCTGATAGTCCTACCATGGAGCCACAAAACAGAAGATCGGTATCACAGCCCTAGTCATTGTCATGTCAGTTACAGTTCAGGAAGGTCACCTCTGTTGATAGAGATCATCACCACTGACGGAGAGCGTTTGTTGTTGTTGTTTGCCATAAAGTTCAAGTCCATTTGAGTCTTTCTTTAAAGCCAAAAGACTGAGTTGGAATTTTCCATAATACTTTTTCCAGATGAAGAGAACATAACCATATGTGTTGGCCCATATTTTGAAAACCCTTCTAGTTATTTGATCTAGTATTTTATCTGTAGTTAAAAATAATACTTGTAGTGGTGATTCTTGAATGTTTTCCCGATTTTTAATTCAGCTCATGGCTTTGTCCCGTGACAGACGGGCCTTTCTCTGTCACAGCCCCTCTCCAGTGTCAGCACCTCTTCACCAGTGACTCTTTAGTCAGACCTCTGCTCAGCATTGACTCTAGTGTGGTCCGTAAACATTGTTCAGAGCTGCACCACATAGGAAATCAGGATCCTGTTTCATTTGTATAGTTTATTTGTTTGGGTTTTTCTCTTTTTTTTTTGGTTTCATTTGCTTGTTGGTTAATAATTACCTTTTAGAGAAAGCTAAGCAAGTGTTTTGTTTTGTTAAAAAAAAAAAAAAAAAGCCTATCACTAATTTATTCCAAACTGTCTTCTGCAAGAGTTACGAAACATTTTTCAGTGTGGCCAAAAATTGGTAGCCTATCAGTTCCTTTTCTTCCCCTCCCTCCCTCCTCCCTTTAGAAAACTAGCCCATGGAGCCTCTATCCTCCTCTTCCCATCTGGGCTGCTTCCACCCTAAACCTGCTTTACACTTGTCCTTCAGAATGGGCATATCCTTGCACTGTTAGCCTGGGGGTTCACGTTGGCTCACTTTTTTGTTTGGTTACTTTTTCCCCCTTGTTTGGTCTTTGATTTAATGGAACACATCTGACCATAGCTTCCTGAGAAGGTGGAATTTTTTGAGTCTTTGCAAGTCTGAAAATAGTCTGCCTTCATAGTTTATAGATAGAATGACTGGGTATAAAATTTCAAATCATCCTTAGAAAACTTTTTGATTAATTAAGTTTTCCAAAAAGATTATATGTTGCTGTTGTTATGTGCCATTAAGTCAGACCCGACTCATAGTGACCCGTCCTTGGGTTTCCGAGGCGATACCACTATGGAAGTAGATTGCCCAACTTTCCTTCCAAAGAGTGGCTGGTGAGTTTGAACCACCAGCCTTCTGGTTAGCAGTCAAGTGCCTTAGGCACTACGCTACCAGAGCTCCTAAAAAGATTATATAGGAACAAATAATTTGAAAATTAGAAAAAGGTTAAAGTAAGGAAAATAAAATCTCTTTTATGCTTCTATTCCAAATCTGCCCAGTCCCCCCATCATTCTTCATTAGTTTCTTACATATCTTTCCAAAGTTACAAATGTAACTATATATTCTTAATTCCCCTCCTTCTTAATACCTAGAAATTGCAAGTCATACTCAGTGTTCTGTATATTGTTTTTTCTCATGTTGTTGTTGTTGTT